AATTTTATGACTTAAAACAATGCAAATTTATTATCTTACAGTTCTATATGTCTGAAGTCAGAGATTTTACAGGACTATTAACAAGATGTTGGCAAGATAGGATTTTTTTTCTAGACGGTTTAGGGGAATGTGTTTTCTTTTCCAGCTTCTAGGGGTTTCTTACATTCCTTGCTTATAGTTCTCTTCCTCCAAAGTCTTGAAATTCAGTAACATTGTATATCTTTGATTATTCTGTCACAGTTATATCCCCTCTGACTCTACTCAACCTGGAAACATTCTCTGAATTTGGGATCATGTGATTATGTTGGACCCAGCCTGATAATTCAAAATGATCTCACTCCAACATCCATAATCTTAGTTACAGCTACAAAGTTTATTTTGCCTTAGATGTTTAGTTGTTCTAGGGATTAGGATGTAAACATTCTTGGAGAGCCAGCATTCTACCTATCACATGTTACCCAAGTACAGAAGAATACCTCTTCTAGAATGGAGATGAAGAGTGTGTTCAAGGATGGCTTTCTGGAAGAGTAATCCCAGTTTGGACCTAAAGGACAGTAGTCATTAACTAGGCTATAGACAGAGGGGTAGAACTGGTGACCATTCCTGGAATAGAATGTGCAAAGACCAGAAGTTAAATGAGTGGCTTTTAGGAACTAAAAATGTTCAGTATTATTTTTAACATGACACAGGCAGAGTGATGCAGCATAGTTATGAGACAAATATCAACAGACCCAATCCTATGGAACTTTGATGACCAGAGTGAAGAGTCTAGACTTCATTCCATGAACTGTGGTCAGCTGCTGGAAGGTTTTAAGCAGGTGAATGATATGATCAGATTTCTAACTTTGTAAGTTGGTCCTGCCTGAAGTGCAGGGAAAGGATGGAAGAGAGTGAGTTATGGTGGCAATAAAATCTTGAAAGGAGCCAGTATAGGGATTTAAGCTGGGAATTTGGTGGAGGGCTAAATATGAGTATTGGTAAAACTGGGAAATGTAGAAGGAGAAGGAAAAGTTATGATGGTCAGAATGAGTGAGTATGGCTGTTGCCAGGTTGAGTTTGACTGATCCTTTAGGTGTATATTTCCAGTCTGTGGCCCAGAAGTTTGAGTAAGAAATCTGGGCTAAAGATAATAATTAGGGACTTAAGGGGTACAGAGGATAATACTCTTTGTGAGGATCAGAAAAGAGAATCTAGGGCTATGCCCTTAGGAAACCCATCAGTTAAGAGAGGTACAGAGGGAGAAGAATTCAACAAATACATGAACAAAAAAAGATGTGCCCAGAAAGATGGCGGGGGTGTGGAGCAGGGATGAGGAACAGAACGGTAAGGTGTGAAAGGATATTTCAAGAATGATGGTGTAGTCAGTGCTCCAAGGCTATCATTGAATATCAAGTCTGAAAGATAAAAAGTAAAAGATTGTTCAGGATGTTATTACTTCTGCAAGAGTTAGCAGTTTTAAGGAATAGGTAGACTCACAATCTAGTGTTAAGTGTGTTGAGAAGAGAATGAACACATAAGAGATGGAGAAAACTGTACTTTTTGGACATTTGAGAAGCACCAGATGCTTGGGTGTGTTGAATGCTGATAAGAAGGTACCAATCCTCCTCCCCCACTGATATGCAGTAAATGCAGTAGATGCTCACAGCAGAGATGGAGGCAGTGCTCCTCAAACTTACTCTCAGCACGTGGCCCTAATGGTAGATGCAAGAAGCATATCCCCCTGGAGAGACAGTGGTGTGGCCAAAGCTTCTACAAGATCTTTGCAGAACCTACAGGAATCCTATTTATTGTGTCCAGAAGCATCACAGAAGAGATACAGCTAGTCCTCCAGGTGACAACTGTAGAACTGCGTGTAATGTAAACTATCTGGTGCCTCCCTGATAGCTCATCTGGTAAAGAATCTGCATGCAACACAGGAGGCTCTGGTTTGATTCCTGGGTCAGGAAGATCCACTGGAGAAGGGATAGACTACCCATTCCAATATTCATGGGCTTCCCTAGTGACTCAGAGGGTCAAAAATCCACCTGCAATGAGGGATACCTGGGTTTGATACCTGGGCTGGGAAGATCCCCTGGTGGAGGACATGGCAACCCACTCCAATATTCTTGCCTGGAGAATCCCCATGGACAGGGGAGCCCGGCGGGTTATAGCTCATGGGGTTGCAGAGTTGGACATGACTGAGCGACCAAGCACATGTAAACTATTTCACAATGAGAAAGTAGTCTGTGTATCAGCTTGTAGCAAGCATTTCCAAAACAGCCATTTAAAATAGATTAATAAAGCTCCCTACTATTTAAAATAACCAGCCATGACTCTCTCTAATGGCCCACTAATGAAGAAACAAAGAGAAATTATTAGATCTAGGAAAATTAAAAATCTAGAGGAAGTATGTTAGTAGTAAAGTTGAGTCAATTTACAGACTGTCTTAGAATCCGTTAAACATAATTATCAAGTACTCACAGCTTTGAAAAATGACTCTGCATTGTCATTACTCAAAAGTTGGGATTACACCTAAAAGGTCCATCAAAGTCAACTGGTAATGTAAGGTCATATTCTAAAATCTTTAAGTTAAAAAGGTCTCTCAAAGTGCAAGTCATATCTTTTTCTCAGATTAAATTACCCAACCTGCTTTGAGCATTTATTTCAATATATTGTTTCTGTCAGCATTTCTGAGTTCCTGATAACAGGAACCAAAATAAATTACACTTTGTCCACCACACCCCAGGTGACACTCAGGCTAACTCCAAGGCCACTGTCTGGGAGGATGTAATTTTTTTCCTTGAATAAACAAACTATTTTTTTTTTAAGTTAATTGCAAAAAAGGCAGAGTTATACTTACCCCATTTTGTTCGCTTCCCTGGAAACCATTAATTTCAAGGAAAATGGAGACAAGGTAGTCAGTTTTTATCAACAAATTATAAAGACATCAATATAAATCAACAAAAATTTTTCTAGTTGTAAAGCCACTGTAGCAAATTTTTTCTAAGTATTTTTTTGCCACTCTCCAACATGAAGCCTTTTTTTCCCCCAATTAACTTAAATTTCACAGTTGTTTTGGGAATTGCTTCATTGTCCTAGGATTTACTTCTGTGATAAAGAAAAAAAAAGTGAAAAAAAAAGAAAGGCTTTATTTTATTTGACTTAATTGCCTAAGAGCTTTGAAATGTGAACAACTTAACAAAACAACAGATGTGAAATTAACACATCCATGTCTCTTGTTGAAACAGGGAAAAGCAGAAAGAAAGAGAAATGCCAGGATGCTGACTTGTACCCTCTAGTGGAAACAGAACCATGTCCTTGTGATGTGTTTACATCTCATCCTTATGGAAACTGGTCAGATTGCATCCTTCCTGAAAGCAGAAAGGAGACTCACAGAGGACTGCGGGTACAAGGAGATGCCACAGAATGTGGAGAAGGCATGCGCTTTCGGGCAATAGCCTGCTCTGATAGAAATGGAAGACCTGTTGACCCTGTCCACTGCAACAGTTCTGGTAAGGAAATGGGTGAGGAGTAACACATGAGAACACTGACATATAGCCCAGGATGTGTGTCCCAGGTCTAAAATGCATAGCCTTGTTTCTTAATAATTGTTTCAGTTTTCCTTTGTCAAAAACACACTGCCTCTCATTAAGTATGAATATAGGAGATGCACATATCCGTATCTCACTGCTTATCTGGAATGTGAGTGTTCGGGATCTTTGACTCACCTCTCTCTATGCTTCACCTCTGATTACTTGCTGCCATGTGTGAGCACAGGCTTTCTCTGAGAAAGCCAAAGCCCAGCACAAAGGAATATATTTTATGCTGTTCATTGGTGCTTTAATCACATACATAGAAGGCATCAGGCCTTGAATATCTTGTAAGGGTGTTGACAAAATACCAATGAAAATGTTAATATTAAACGTTGTACAGTACCATGTGTAAGTACACCTAAATTAAGACTAGAACTATAGGAAAGAAATTAGGCAAGCTGGAAGAATTTTTGAAACTTTAATCAGGGAGAAGACTCTCTTTTTTTATTATTTTTGAACCTTGACATAATTTAAAAGATATGGATGAACAGAGAAAAGAATGATGATTGAATACAGTTGGTGTCAACACTGATAGAGGAGGCTCTGACTGTTGATAGCAATGGAGCTTATTGAGTTCCTCTCTGCTTTTTGGTTTTTAATTACCTTTAAACAAACAAAAACTAAAGAAGTTAGGGATTTTATAGAAGGTATGAATAGAGAGAATTTATGTTTGAGTGGTAAACTCTAAAAAAAATAAAATTGATAGATTTGGGTCACTATCATCAAGGCTTTTATATTCTAGTAAGCTTTCTCAATAATATCAGAAATAACAAATTGAATTCACTTTTAACACACAAGTAAATGATAGTTTGTCTTTATTCTATATTGGTAATGTATCAGCTCATTTTATTTAGGCTATGCCTGGATCATTATAGGAATGCAATTTAAGATTTAATAATTTTTAGTTAGCACAGTCATTGTACTGCCTGTTGAGTTAGTCTGCGGTGTTGTATTCAGTGATTTTCCTTTCAGAAACATTAAACACATCACAGACCAGTAATGGACCCATTTGGGAACAACTGGCACCCCACTCCAGTACTCTTGCCTGGAAAATTCCATGGATGGAGGAGCCTGGTGGGCTGCAGTCCATGGGGTCGCAAAGAGCTGGACATGACTGAGCAACTTCACTTTCACTTTTCACTTTCACGCATCGGAGAAGGAAATGGCAACCCACTCCAGTGTTCTTGCCTGGAGAATCCCAGGGACTGCGGAGCCTGGTGGGCTGCCGTCTATGGGGTCGCACAGAGTCAGACACGGCTGAAGTGACTTAGCAGCAGCAGAGTTGGTTTACTCTGATCCTTGTTTTTCACCTTTAAAATACATTGTTGTTGTTTAGGGCTTCCCTGATGACTCAGATGGTAAAGATTCTTCTGCCTGCAATTCAGGAGTCCTTGGTTTGATCCCTGGGTCGGAAGGATCCCCTGTAGGAGGGAATGGCTACCCACTCCAGTTGCTTAGTCACTACGTTGTATCTGACTCTCTTGTGACTCCATGACTGAAGCCCTCCAGGCTCTCTCTCCATGGGATTCTCCAGGTGGGGATAGTGAAGTTAGTTGTCATTTCCTTCTCCAAGGGATCTTCCCAACCCAGTGGTTAAACCCAAGTCTCCTGCATTTTGGTAGGTGGCTTCTTTACCACTGAGCCACCTGAGAAGCCCTTAGTATAAATAGTGGTCTATTTTTTAAATTTTCTTGAAATATATTTGATGTATAACATTCATTGCATAAATTTAAGGTGTACAATTTAATTCAAGACATTTGTAGGTTGTAATATATTGCAATTGTAGTGATGATAACCACATATAATATTACATAATCATTTCTTTTCAGTGGTTGGAATAATTTTAGTCTCAGTAAGTTTGGTTATAAGACTATATTATTGTCTATATTACTGCACTGTGCATTAGATCTCTCTGGCTTTTTTACTATTCATTCCAAGTTCATATTATTAAAAAAATTATCCTATTCTTGTCTTATCCCTCCACTCCTATCCCCTGGAAACCACCATTTTACTGTTTTTATGAGTTTGTCACTTGTAGATTACACGTATAAGTTGATATAATATAGTATTTCTCTGTCTGACTTGTCTCAGCTACTAACCTCTAGGTCCATTTACATTGTCACAGACAGTGAATGTCTTTCTTGTGGCTAGATAATAGTCCATTGTTTACATACACTACAAATTCTTTGACTCACCTGTCGAGGGGCACATAGATTGTACATTTAGCTGTGGGCAACACAATTCAGTAAATTCTGAATTACCTATGCTAAAGGATTTTATGGAATATTCAAACCACAGATAATATTAGCCAGGTCTCTTTGTCTTTAGCAATATCACTGAGGGGACCAGTATTAAAATTATGTCTCATTTAAAACAAACAGAACACTTCAGAGTGGAATTTGTGTTGGCCTGTGCCAACAGGCCAGATGTTGACTCTGGATGATTATCTAATTCAGTCAACAGAATAGAATGTGCCAAAATAATGATACTTTAGGTGAGTTACTTCCAATTATGTCTCTTATCCCAGTAATATTATTTTCAAAGACTAGGACATGAACACACCCCCACACCTCAACATACTCCATTCTTCTCTCCCCTATTTCCTGCCTTCATTCCTTCCTTCATTCCCGTCTCTGCTCATGACAGATCTTGGCCCAACTCCTCTGATAAATCATTGTTTCATCACTTCCTGTGCCCTGTGCATGTACGTGTGCTAAGTTGCTTTAGTTGTGTCATACTCTGTGCAGCTCTATGGACAGTAGCCCCCCAGGCTCCTCTGTCCATGGGATCCTCCAGGCAAGAACACTGGAGTGGGTTGCCATGCTCCCCTCCAAGGGATCTCCCCCACCCAGGGATTGAACCTGTGTCTCTTATGTCTCCTGCATTGGCAGATGGGTTCTTTAACACTAATGCCAATTGGGAAGCCCCTTATTCCCCTTACCCGTCTTTATCTTTCTTCATGGTACTTAATCACTTACTAAAATATTATGCATTTACATTTTAAAAATACTTTCTCTCTCTCTCCTATGATTGGATAGTAAAATTCCAATAAAGAACTGCTTTTTATTTTTTACTTTTCAGCTATATCCATGGCACCTAGAATGATGCCTGAAAGTTAGTAGGTATTTAAAACATATTTGTAAATATATGACTAGACCATCAGGTCTTAATAAGTTTGCCTTCTAAGTATTTTCTCAAGCTTCTCTTTTCCTCTTGCTGTCTACTACACCCAGTGACATATTTTACAATATTGTCTTAACTACCTGATATCTATTATTCACTAAGAGCCATCAATCATCACACTAAAAGACATGTGTGACCATGCCAGTGCTGTGCTGGCAGTTTCTCCTGGTTTCTTCTGCATGTACCAGCTCCTTAACAGGACACCAAAGGAGTTCCATGACTACGTATTCCACCTGGCACACTCTTTCTCCTCCTTTCATGAGGCTCCTCTTCCTTTAGTATAAGACAAAGTGATGCCTGGATCCAGGAAGCACTTTTCCTACTTCCATTTCCAGGGTAGGTGAGAGGATCATCCTTTTCTTCCTTTATCAATATATTTAGATTTTCTTTTAGCCATATACTTTTCTGTTTCTCTTACTAACCTGATTGTTTATTGAATCAGGTACATTTCAATTCAGGTGTATTGACTCAAGTTCATTGCTCCATCCCCAGGGCTTAACACAGTGTCTGGTCCACCATAGACTGTCAGTTATGTTGGTTGAATGAATGAAAAGTTGAGTTTAGATATGCCCAGAGGCAACATGCATGCCTTGATAAAAGTTCTGAGTGTGTGTGTGTGTGTGTGTGTGTTAAGAGTTGTTTGGGTAGAATAGCTGAGTACAGTAAATATGGAGCCACAGAGAAATTGACTCTAAAATACAGGGTCAGACAAAATAGAATATTTTGTTCTATTTTGCCCTTAAAAAAAGTTTGGGATTGGGGGAATCCTAATTGTACTGGAATGAAATTGTATTGCTACCAGTAGACAAGGGATATTTTTGAAAGAATGGGAAAAATGCAGAAAAACAATTTTCCTAGTGATCCAGTGAGAACTATGTGAATAAAATTTTAATTCATCAGATTATAAAGTGAAAATGTAATCTGTTTCAAATCAGATTCCAGATAAATTAGGATTGAGTTTGATAGGCAGTTAATTATCTTCATTAATATTTCACCCAGGAATAACTTGGCATTTGCAACTTAAGTCTAGTACACCAATTTGATTAATTTGCTGTTATATATAAGGAGGTATGGATAGCAAACAAAGCATAATAGTCTAAGAAATCTTTGTGATTTAAAGAATAATATTTCATGTACTTGCAGTTACTGACAAAATGTGAATTTAATCTTAGTACCTTTAGAAAGTTTAGTTTCTATGACTATATTGAATTTTATATTATTGAAAAGATTTAGCTCAACTACTTATGGGCTAGTTTATTTTGGCCAAGATAGGAGGTTGAAATTTACATCTTTATTAACTGAATTGTTTAAGAGAGCATTTTATGAAGTGTCCTGGCAATGAGTTGTGTGTATCAAAGATAGGACGAACTTTTAAATGTATTGTGAACTCTCCTTTATGAGTCCATCAGGCAGAGAGACTGAGTAATTATATCTCTTGCAGAAGGAAATAGCAACTCTCTAGTCATCTGCACCTTTTGCCAAATGACCTGTTTCCTAAATATTCTGCACCTGTGTGTTTTTTCAGATGTTGAAAAGCTCTTCAAATCATCACTTGAGAAGGAATAATAGTGTCTACTCCTTAGCAAATTAAGTTTGACAAGATGGATATGCTTCTGTGTTTTCTATGTTGAGATTTTGCTTTCTTTGCTTCATTTTTTCCTGTGAATGTTGCTATAAAAATTCATATGAAATCACTACTTAGAGATGCTTCGATCCTCTATCCATGTTTCTCCATT